AGGAAACACGTTATTCCCTTATCCGTAGGATAACCGCCAGCAAAACTGGGGAGTGCTCTATGCTAAAAAACGGAGAATGACCTAGGGGGGGCAAAAGGAGTCACCGAGTAGCCAAGAGGAGCGGAGGTCCGAGTGAATGGAAGGGTTTCCGTCAGGGTCAAAGATGAGGAAACGCAGTCGGGTGGCCAGCGTAATGCGAGAGGCCGAGCGTTGCTGTTTCTTCACTGATTGTCGCTTCCTCCGCCAAAGGAATATTTTGAAAGCAAGGAGGAATTGTGCTAGGATGAACTGGAGGATCTCGAAACTAGAAGAGGGGGAGTCGTTGTATTTGAGGTCACATCGCGCATTCCAGATTGCCTTTGCACAGGCACCCACCAAAAGGCTCCATAGGGCTACCTGGCCTGCTCTCGAGGTGAGCGGGAAAAGCAAGAGCTCAGGAGGAGGAGAACAGTGGAGGTGGCGATGGGCGACGGAAGAGAGGGCAGAAATAACTGCAGGGGCCACCCCACACAAATAAAACATGTGGGAGATAGTCTCAGTAGTTGCAGAAGGGCAGAGTGAACAAATCCCTCGATCAGCGGCAAAGTTGAACCGAGAGCCCGAAGGAAGAGAGCGGGTATAGAACCGGTACAAGATGTCGCGCTGGAGGCTGGGTTGTTCACGTAAAAAGTCATGGGAGAAGTCGGGAATAAGAGGAGGAGGCGCGGGGAGGATGCGGATCCAACGGGCGGCGTGATCGAGAGGACGCTTGGTATAGAGGCGGCGACGAAGGTCAGCTACACTGGGGCAACCATCCTGGAGGATGTCGAGCCGCGCGCTGAGCCCTGCACCTGTAAAGAAGGGACCTGCAAGCCAGGACCCGACGACATGCACTGCAGAAAGATCACCGATACGGTAGGTGCCAATTCTGATCGATGAACGTTCAATGAGCCGGTTGGGGAGGACACGGTGGAGGGAAGCTGAAAGCGACGACGGAGGCAAGAAGGCTATAACTAGGAGGGCACGGGTGGGGGAGGCATCAGAGTCCTGCGAGGGCACGAACCACTCCCCTGGAGCTGCCGAGGGGGGAGGCGGAGAGCGGAGGGCTGACCACCAGGGCTTGGGAATGGCACGAATGAGTTCCCGCCAGACTCTTCGACCCGAGGAGGAGTTGGCGAGGGGAACCGAAGAAGTGAAGTGGAAGAAGGGGAGGAAGAAGGGTGTTCTGTGGGTGGTGAACAAAAAAAACCTTTCACTGGGGCAGAGCGAGGCACCAAAGGCTATACAGTACTTCAGAACAACAGCTCGATCAAGTGAATTGAATCGAAACAAAAAACAAAGCTTGAGGATTTTCATATAGCAAAAAAGAAAACAAGCAGAACCTTCAGTTTGGAAGGTAGTGTCACGTGACATCTGGTGAATCGAGTGAAACAATCACCTGCTGACACATTTGAGTCACAAGCAGAACAGGTCATCATCGTGAATTACAACCCACTATAGACACCTGAACAGTTTTTTGTAAGACACAATTTTCTAACAACCCTCTTCTGCAAACGATAGGAATCTAATTTCTACGCAACCCTTCCGACGTTCAACGTCGAATCTTGTTAATTATAGTTTTTATTCGCTTCATGCATTCCACTATAATGCAAGCAAACACATTGCCAGGAGTTCATACATGCTTGGTAGTTTTTACACAATCCCACGCGTATTGGTGTTTGAAGGCTCTTCAAAAATACCTATAGCGCCCCTAGGGTTACTTGTCCCTACGGGCTAACAGCTCGAAACTTCAGACTTCTGTTTTTTTCCGTCTCACGTCTGGCGGCGGCAAAAAGAAACCGATTATGCGCCCTGGCTACCTTGGTTGTCGGTCCCTCCAACACATCCCGAATAAGGGGAACAGACAGTCAGATGCACCACCATGAGCTTGGCGTGATCCTACGGTCCTTGTCCTTTTCAAGGCAGCCCATAGTATTTCCTCCTCAATTCCAGTTGCGCCCTCTCCCTCTCCCTCTTGGCTGCCAGTGCTGAATGCTCTGCTGCCCTGGCTGCTGGCCCTGACACGCCCTGTGTGGTGAGTCATGAGGGACGCGAGTGGTGAGTCATGAGGGACGCGACACGGCAGTTGATGCTGCTCCAACCCACAAGGCCCTATATTCGGGATCAAGGCAGCCCATAGTATTCCCTCCTCAGCTCCAGCTGCGCTCTCTCCCTCTCCCTCTTGGCTGCCAGTGCTGACTGCTCTGCTGCTCTGGCTGCTGGCCCTGACACGCCCTGTGTGGTGACTCATGAGGGACGCGACAAAGCGGCTAACGCTGCTCCAACCCACAAGGCCCTATATTCGGGATCAAGGCAGCCCATAGTATTTCCTCCTCAGCTCCAGCTGCGCTCTCTCCCTCTCCCTCTTGGCTGCCAGTGCTGACTGCTTCGCTGCCCTGGCTGCTGGTCCTGACACACCCCCAAATGCCAGACATGCACACCATGTGAATCGTGACCCTCCCACTCCATCCCTCAAATCCAGCTGCGCCCTCTCCCTCTCCCTCTTATATGTTGTACCCACATCACATCATCTTCCTCAAGGCAGCCCATAGTACTTCCTCCTCAGTTCCAGCTGAGCCCTCTCCTTCTCCCGCTTGGCTGCCAGTGCCGATTGCTCCGCTGCTCTAGCTGCTGGCCCTGACACGCCCAGTGTGGTCATCGAAGCTACCCGCCGGTTGATGCTGCTCTTGCTGCGCATGGCCTTGATTGCTTCTTTCACACTGCAGGTGGGGAATGAGGAGAGGACAGGAGAAGAGAGACAAGGTAATCATAAAAACGAGAAAGGGGAGAGGCGGTTCAAACTGCTCCTGCTGTGCACCACCTTGCGTACTTCTATTCACACTGTAAGGAGGGGAATGAGTGGAGAGCAAGGGTAGCTAGGAGGAGGTGGGTGCAAGGGTGTGAAGAGTGGCGAGCGATAAAATGCAGCAGTTGTTCTTCGCGTCCCTTGCACACCCACAGGCGTCGATCCTCAATCACTCCCTTGATTCTCTTGCCCTTTGTCCTGCCACTTACCTTGTCCAGTAATACTGAGAACCAGCTCACCTGTCTTCATGTCTTTCACATCCATCAAATACCGATCGTCAATCACCACTCCCTTGTTCCTCTTGCCTCTACGTAATAAACACGTTCTTTCAAACTAGAACGGCTGCTCTCACCTCTTCTTCTTTTGAGGCGCCTCAAAAGTCTTTCAAACTAGAACGGCTGCTCTCACCTGTTCTTCACGTCTTTCACATCCACCAGATATCGATCGTCGATCACTACTCCCTTCTTTTTCCTCCTCACCCTCCTCCGTTCCCCCTCCTCTCCCTCTTCCTCCTCATCCCCTTCCATCTCCTCCCTCTCCTCCCTCCATCTCATCTGAAAACTGTACCCTCTTCTTCCCCTCCTTTCCCTCCCCCTCCTCTTCCCCATCTCCCTCCTCCACTCCCTCTCCCTCCTGCCGCACCACCTCACCAACTGTACCCAGACCACCCGAGCCAGTTCCAGGCTCGGCCGAACCACCAGCGGAGGCTCGGGAGGAAGCTGCTTCGGCAGAAGTTAGGCCGAGCCTACGCTCCACAGCAAGAGCAGCAGCCGAAGCAGCAGCCATAGCAGCTTGTGCTGCAGCAGCAGCTGAGGGCATAGCAGCAAGAGAAGCCGGAGCTGCAGCAGGGGCAGTGATTGTCGCAGCAGCAGCACCACCACCACCCCCAACACCACCACCACCAATGCCAGCACCGACTGCTAAAGCAGCAGCAGCAGCGGCGGCGGCTGCTAAAGCATCACCACCAATACCGCCAGCAACAGCACCAGCAGCAGCAGCAGCAGCACCGGCAGTAGCACCAGCTCTAGCGGCAATCGCCTTGGCATTCACAATAGCCCGAGCAGCAGCAGCTGCAGCAGCGAATTGAGCCATAGGCGCACCAGTACCCAGCCCAACCACATTCAAACCCATTCCACCCATACCACTCATGCCAATACCACTACCTGCCAGAGCGGGGGGCAGAGCAGAGCCAGAGTGGAGGGGGCGGGGAGCAGCACGCAGAGCTTGCAGCAGTGCATGGTGAGCTACTAATGGGTTGGTGTGTGTTTGATGCGGTGCAAGGGGGTTGGTATGGGTATGATGCGGTGCCACACCTGGGGTCTGCAACAAACCGCCACCAGGAAAAGCCCCCCCACTATTGGGAAAAGCACCCCCACCGGGGAAGGGCGGGCCTGGAATATGGGCTGTTGTTGAGTGTGGGGGAGAGACAAGTGAGTGGACGGCGGACAGGGGAAAGGATGGGCTAGCAGGGAGCGTGACGGGGAAAGCAGGTGCACCAGCCACCGCCGCCGCTGCAGCAGCACCAGCTTCCTTTCTCTCCCTTTCGTTCTCTCTCTCGATTTGTCTGTCCTTCTCTCGCTCCTTCTCGGTCTCCCTTGCAACTACCTTCATCTCTCGCCAGTCCTGCCGCCACTTCTTCCTCTTCTCAGCTAGAACCAGCAGTTCCATACTCATGCCCTCCGCTTCTTCCTCCTCCTCCTCCTCTTCCTCCTTCACCTCCTTCTTTGTTGCTTTCCCTGCCTTTCCCTCCTCACCCCCCTCCTTTTCCATCCCAGATTTCTTGTTCCCCTTTTCCTTTTCCTTTTCCTTCTTCCCCTTCACCTTCCCTTTCCCCTTCCCCTTCACCCGCTTTCCTCTCCTGTCCTCCTTCTTTCCGCTGCTCCTCCTCTTTTTCAACCCTCCCTCCTGAGAACTATCTTCACTAGAATCACTCTCACTGGAATCACTATCATTGAAAGTTTCCTCCTCACTGCACTCACGCTCCCTTTGCCGCTTCCCATGCCCTCCATCCCCCTTCCCCACATCCCTTCCCTCCTCCTTCCCCACAACTTTCTCCTCCAATTTTTGTCGTGACTCAGAAATTCGCCCAGGCCTTTCACCCCTCCCATCCTCCCTACCCTCTTTCCTGCTTCCCATCGTCATGTGTCTTACTCTCGTCACACATCTTCTTATTGTCATGCTTATTTGTTCCTCTACTATCCTTTTCTCTCCTAGCCTCTTTTTCCTCAACTTCCTCACCTTTTCCCATCTCCACTGCTTCTCTCCTCTCCCCATTTTCTCCTTTGCCTTCATTGACTGTTTTCCCTCCCTTTTCTCTCCCCTCCTTTTGTCTCCTCTCCTCTCTTCTCTCATTTTCTCTCCCCACTTCTCGTCTCTCCTTCCCTCTCGTCTCCTGCTCACTCCTCTCTTTTATCCCCCTCTCCCCCCCCTTCCTCTCCATATCGCCCCTGTCCTTCTCCCTCCTCTCCTTCTCTTCCCATTCCCTCTCCCTCCTCTCCTTCTCTTCCCTTTCCCTCTCCCTACTCTCCTTCTCTCCACTTTCCCTCTCCCTCCTCTCCCTCTCTCCCTTTTCCCTCTCCCTCCTCTCCCTCTCTCCCTTTTCCCTCTCCCTCCTCTCCTTCTCTCCCCTCTCCTTGTCCCTCCTCTCCTTCTCCCTCTTCTCCTTCTCCTTAATTTCCTCCTCCACCTTCCTCCTCTTCCTCTCCTCGTTTGTATCATGACCCATGCTTCTTCCTTCCCTCTTCTGCCCATGCTCCTCCCCATCCAATCGCCCTCTCTTCTCCTTTGCTCCTTCCTCCCCTTCTTTTCTCGCCCCACTTATACTCTCCCCCTTCTCTTTATCCCTTTCTCCTGCCTCCTTAACACCTTTATTACCCCTCTTCTCCTCTGTCCTCTCATCCCTTATCTTCTCTTTCCTCTCATCTTTCCTTTCCCCTCTCCTCCCATCCTTCTCTTCCTCCCTCCTCTCATCTTTTCTATCATCCTTCTTCTCTTCTTTCCTTTCCTCCGTCCTCTCCTCTCTCCTCTCATCCCTCCTCACCTCTTCCATCTCGCCCCCCTTACCCTCCCTCTTCTTTTCGTCCATCTTATCCCTATGCGAACCACCCACCCTTTCACTTCCACTATCCTTACCAGCCTCCTCCCTTTTCCTTTCCTCTTCCGTTCTCCTTCCCTCCTCCCTTCTCCTTCCCTCCTCCCTTCTCCTTCCCTCCTCCTTTCTCTTTCCCTCCTGCTTCCTCTCCTCGTCCTCCCTTCTCCTCTCCTCTTCCTTTCTCTTCCATCCTCCATTCTCCGTTTGTCCGCCTTTCGCTTATCCTCCTCCCGTTTCTTATCATCCTCGTTCTCCTGAGATCCTCCTTTCTCCCTTCCCCATTCCTCCCTTTTCATCCCTCCTCTCCTTATCCTCCTCCCTTTTTCCTTTATCCTCCTCCTTTCGTCCTCCCTTTTCAACCCTTCTCCTATCCTCCTCCTTTCTCCTATCCTCCTCCCGTTTCCCATCCTCCTCCCATCTTCTGTCCTCCTCCTTTCTCCTATTACCCCTTCCACTTTCCTCTTTCTTTTCATCCCTCCTCTCAATCCTCCTCTCCTCCCCCCGATGACCCACACTCACACCACCTACCTTCACCTCCCCATTCCCACTCTTCTCTACCTCTGCATTTCGCCTCGCCTGTTCCTCCCCTTTCTTCCCATCCCTCCCCTCCCCACGCTTCTCCTCCTCCTTCCTTCGCTTATTCTCCCTCCCTTCCTCCCCCTCCTCCTCCTCTTCCCCTTTCCTTCTCCCTCCCTTGCCCTTATCACTCCCCAAAGCCCGTTTCCGGTCCCAATCCCTAGCATTATCATCACCATCACCATCATCATCACCACCACCACCCCCACCACTCCCTTTACCGCCAACTATCCCTCCCTTTCTGGACGATCCTACTCCCTGTCCCCCTTTCTCTCCCCTGCCAATACCACCACCACCCCAGAACCGCCACCACCACTGTTGCCAGCAATCCCTGTTGTTACCACTGCCTTTGCCACTCGCTTTACTGCCAGTCTTTCCATCCTTACCACCCTTACTCTCACGCTCCCCTCTCCCTCCTCCCTCACCCCCTTCCTTTCCTCCTCCTCGTCCTTCTCCTCCATCTCCTCCTTCCATTCCACTCTCTCTCTGCGCACCACCCTTCCCCCTCTCCCCTTCACTCCTTGTCCCTTCCACCACCTTAGATCGCTCTTGACCTTCCCCTTTCTCTTTTTCCCCCTCTCCCACCGCGCCACTCCCTATTCTCACACCACCATTCCCACCTTCCTCCTCCTTCCTGCTCTTTTCAGCCGATTCGAAATCTTCCTACCTTCCCCTCTCTCCTTTCCCCCCTCTCCCGCTGCGACACTCCCTATTCTCACACTACCACCCCCACCTTCCTCCTCCTCCTTCCCTGTCTCTTCTGCCAATGCAACGCCCTTCTGACTTTTCACTCTCTCCTCTTCCCGCTCTCCTGTTGCTCCACTCCCTCTTCTCACACCACTGGCCCCACCCTCATTCTCCTTCCTCCCTATCTCTTCTGCCAATGCAACGCCTTTCTGACTTTTCCCTCTCTCCTCTTCCTCCACCTTCTCAGCCCCTCTTTCTCCTCCACTTCTGTTCACATCGGCCTTTTCTCCTCGTTCCCGTGCTGTGTCTACCCCTCTTTCCATTCCTTCCTTACCTTCCCTTGCAACTCTTTCTCCCCCATCTGCTTTGTGGCTGCTGAGGGTTTCCCCTCCTCCTCTTGCCCCTCCTCCTCTTTTCCCCCCTCCTCCTCTTTCCCCTCTTCCTCTTTCCCCTCCTCTTTCTCCTCCTCCTCCCCTTCTTCCTACCTCCCTTGCTCCTCTTTCCCTTACACCTCCTTCCCCACCTCCTCTTTCCCTCGTATTGTTGCTGCCCCTCATTCGTGTCACATCAACATCCCTCCTCTCTGCTATCTTTCCCATGTCTCGTTCACGCGCTTCCCTTCCAATATCCCTTCCTGCCCCAAAAATACAGCTGCCTGCTTGCATCTCTGCCCCTCGTTCTTGTCACATCCACATCCCTCGTTCTTGTCATGTGCACCAACTCCCTCCCCCTCTCTGCTGACATTACTAACGTCTCTCTCGCCTCCTACACTCCCTCTACCCTTTGCTTCTCCACCATCCACCTCTCTCCCCTTCTCCCTCTCCCTCCCAGCACTCACTCTCTCACCCTCCCACACGTCTCTCCCCTTCTCCCTTTCCTTCCCCTCCCTCCCATCACTCCCCTTCTCCCTCTCCCTCTCAACACTCACCAACCCCCTCTCCCTCTCCCTCCCCTCACTCCCCTTCTCCCCTTTCCCTCTCCCCTCTCCCTCCCCTCACTCCCCTTCTCCCCCTCCCTCTCCCTCCCCTGACTCGCCTTCGCCCCCTCCCTCTCCCTCTCCCTCCCCTGACTCGCCTTCCTCCCTCTCCTTCTCCCTCCCTCACTTCCATTCTCCCTCTCCCTCTCCCTCTCCCTCTCCCCCTCTCTCGCCCTCTCCCTCTCCCTCTCCCTCTCCCTCGCCCTCGCCCTCTCCCTCTCCCTCTCCCTCTCCTCACTCACCTTCACCCTCTCCCTCTCCCTCCCTCCTCCATTCCCATCGCCCTCTCCCTCTCTCTCCCCTCAGTCCCCTTCTCCCTCTCCCTCTCCCTCTCCCTCCTCTCACTCGCCTTCTCCCTCTCCTTCTCCCTCCCCTCACTCCCCTTCTCCCTCTCCCTCTCCCTCTCCCTCTCCTCTCCCAATCTCCCTCTCCCTCTCCCTCTGCCTTCTCCTTCTCCTTCACCCTTTCCCTCTCCCTCTCCCTCTCCCTCTCCCCTCTCCCTCTCCCTCTCCTCAACTCAATCCGGGTTCTGCTATCAGGGCCTACAGCTGCAGCAACAGCACTAACAGCACTAACAGCTGCAGTAACCACCCCAGGTGTTGCTGCCACTACTGATTTTCTACGCGCCTCAAACATAGCAGCAGCACCACCAACACTAACAGCAGAAGCAGCGGCAGCAGCACCAGCTGCTGAAGCACCAGCGGCAGCAGCACCAGCTGCTGAAGCACCAGCGGCCAGCAGCACCAGCTTCTGCTCCTCCTCCTTCCTCTCCTTCCCCTCCCTTACCCTCCCTTTTCTTACCTCCCTCTCCATCACCTCCCACCTCCACCTCTTCCTCTTTTTCACCCTCTGCACCCTCCTCATCCGTCCCATAACCAAGCAGCGTATTCAGCACATTCACACCTGCTTCCAACTCATCTGGCTTCTTTGAATGACTCATCTGACCCGCACTCACACCTGCTTCCGACTCATCCGCCTTCTTGACTCGAGTCATCTCACTCACATTCACGCTCGTGTTTATATCATCTGCATCCGGGTTTGCAGGCTTACTAAGATGCGTCACTTCCAGCTTAGACTCACTTCCCCTTTTTTCACCTGCCCCCTCTTCACCAGTCCCCTTATGACCTGCAACTTTTTCACCTGCACCACCTGCTCCAATCTCTGCCGGTCCTATTTCTCCTGCCCCCTTCTCGCCTGCCCATTTTTCTCCTGTGCCCCTTCATACCTGCCCCCTTACAACCTGCCTCGTTTTCATCTGCCCTCTTTCCACAGGCCCCTTTCCCACCTTCCCACTCCCCATCTTCCCCCTTCCCTTCCTCCTCTCCCGTTTCTCCCTCACCCAAAGATGACTTCCTTTTTCCCTCATCCCCCCTGTCCGCCTCCTCTCCACCACCCATCTTTTCCACAAACAGCCCCTGGCGGAATGACGTTCAGACCAAAGACCAGAGGAGCATCTAACCACTCCTTGCTAGCCCCGCCCCTGCCAAGCGTTCCCTTGCTGCCCAGGAGCAACAATTCGTCCCAAGACTGGATTCTCTAGACGTTTTAGAAGCCCTGCTGTCACATGCGGCACTGTTTCTTCCAGCAGGCCTATGGGGGCCACCTGTGGCAGCAGCTACTCTTGCTCTGGCCCCAGCGGCTTCTGAATCTGCAGCAGCAGCTGGGGCTACGACAGCTGCACTGCCAGCAGCAGCACCAGCAGAAGCAACAGCAGCAACAGCAGCAGCAGGAGCAGCAGGAGCAGCAGCAGCAGAGCGAGCAGTGGATCCGGCAACAACAGCAGCAGCACCAAAGCTGGCAGTTGCACCAGCAGCACCAGGAAAACGATTCCCCTCACCAGCTGCACCAGGCCCAGCATTTCCCCAATTGGGAGCATTTCAAAAGTAGAAACATTTCCAAATCCAGCAGTTCTGTTAAGGAAGAGCATTTGAGCGGGTGAGAGCTGGTGGTAACCCGAGTTGTAACCAAGGGAGGGAAAGGGGCCAAGGGGAAAGGGGAGAAAGGGGTTGAAGGGGAAAGAGTGCGGCATGTGGGGAAGGATGGGGGGAAGAGATGCTGCTGCGCCAATGGGGGGGAGAGATGCAGCTGCGCCTATGGGGGGAAGGCGGGATACTGCACCAATAGGGGAAAGGAAGATGGGGGGTGGGAAGATGGGGGGTGGAAGGCGGGGGAAGAGAAGAAGTCATGATGCCCTTAGGAGGAAAATGAGAGGATGCGGCTGGTGTGGTGGTAGCAGGAGCATTATCGGCAGGCGCATCAATGTCAGCAGGAATAGCTGTGCCGGCAGCAGCAGCAGCAGCAGAAATATTATCAGCAGTGGCATTGGCGGCGGTAGAAGGAGCATCAATATCAGCAGGAGTGGCTGTGTCGGCAGCAGCAGCAGAAGTATTTTCAGCAGCAGTGGGAGCATTGGCGGTGGTGCCAGTGGCATTGTGCATAGCAGGAGCGTTATCAGCAGGAGTAGTATTGTCAGCAGCAGCAGATGTATTTCCAGTAACAGTGGCACCATCGACAGTGATAACAGTGGCATTGTGCATAGCAAGAGCATTATCAGCAGAAGAAATAGTTGCGTCAGTAGCAGCACAAGTTTCTTCTGTTGCAGTTGCAGCACTAACCGTGGTGGCAAAAGTATTGCGGGTAGCAGCAGCATTATCAGCAGGAGTAGTAGCTGCGCCAGTAGCAGCGAAAGTGATGTCAGTCGTTGTGGAAGCATCAACAGTGGTAGCAGGGGCATGGTGTGTAGCAGGATCAATATTGGCAGGAGTTATCGTGCCGTAGCAGGAGGAGTAATCGTGTCAGCAGCAGCAGGAGGAATGGTCTTGTCAGTAGCAGCAGAAGTATCTTCAGTAGCAGTGGCACCATTGACGGTGGTAGCAGGAGCATTGTGAATTGCAGAGTCTTCATCAGCAGAAGTGATTGCGTCAGTAGCCGCAGAAGTGCTTTCAGTAGCTGTGGCAGCATTGACGGATGGTAGCAGCAGCAGTAGCGTTTTCAATAACAGTGGCAGCATCAACAGTGGTAGCAGCAGCAGCAGCAGCAAGCACCAGCAGCAGCACCAGCAGCAGCATCCACTGGAGTAGCAGAAACGGCAGAAGCAGTGTCGGGTGCAATAGCTGCATCGACGGCAGTCATGGTAGCAGTATCAGCATCGGCACAGCATCAGCATCAGCATCAGCATAAGCATCAGCGAGCACAGTTGTTGCAGCAACAGCCAAAATAGCAGCATCGGCATCAGCATCGGCATGAGCAGCATCGGCATCAGCATCAGATGCAACAATCCCATCCTCAGGTGTCAAATCAGCTGTTTCAGGTGCCCAGTAACCTAGCTCAGGAGGAGCATCTTCAGGTGAAAATTCAGGTGGAGGCTCAGCCTTGGTGTCAGAATCAGCCTTGGCATCAGCATGAACAGCAGCATCAGCATTGGCATCAGGTGCACCACCCCCATCCTCAAACGTCCGATCAGCTGTTTCAGGTGCCCAGTAGCCTGACTCAGGTGTCAGGTGAATCTTCAGGTGCATCTTCAGGTGCATCTTCCATTGAACCTTCAGGTGAAGGCCCAAATAGATCAGCAATTTGAATCTCACGTGAAGTTTTGCAACTCTCAGGTGCTTCCTGACGAGCCTCAAATGTAATGGCAGCAGGTAGCTCAGGTGCTTTCTCAGGTGAAAGTTCAGGTGGCTCGCTGAGGGCCTTGCCAGGTGAGCTGTCAGAATCTTCCGATGAGCTGTCAGGGCCTTCGAGTGAGCTGTCTGAGTGGTCAGCTGAGCTGTCAGGGCGTTCAGGTGAGCTGTCAGAATAAGGAAAGTAGAAACCAATCTCCTCATGTTTCTCCTCAGGTGATCCAACAACCTCCCCCACATGAACCTCCCCCACACAAACCTCCCCCACGTAAACTTGCGAGCTGGTACCATCCTCCTTCTCCTCAATCCCGACCCCAGCTGCTTTCTCCGCTCTCTCTTTTACAGGCCCCACCCATCGCCTCCTCTCTGTCAGTCATCCTAACTTCTCCTACACTACCCCAATCGCTGGCCCCACACGCTGCTGGCTTCCCTCTGCCGATCCCTCTCCCCACCTCACTTGCTGAAACCAGCCCTGCTGATTCTCCCGCCGCCAGTGCCGATACAGTAGGCTTACTGTTGGCAGCACCCTGCCAATCTCCTCCATTGACCCCCCCACACACTGCTGGCTTCTCTCTGCCGATCCCTCTCCCCACCTCACTTGCTGAAACCAGCCCTGCTGATTCGCCCACTGCCGGTGCCGATGCAGCAGGCTTACTGTTGGCAGCACCAACAGCAGATGCTGACTTCTGAGGCACCTCAAAACCAGCTGCTCCAGCAGGGTTACTATTGGCAGCGCTAGCAGCAGCATATGCCTCAACAACCTGGCCAAAGAATCTTTTCCTTCTGCCTGTGAGAAAAACGGAGGCAACAACAAGCCAGAAGAACCAGCTGCAGCGGTAGCTGGTGCTGCTGCTGCTGTTGCTGTCTTTGCTGCTACTGCTGATGCCACACTCCTTTTGCCAGAAGTACCAGCTGCAGCGGTAGCTGCTGCTGTTGCTGCTGCTGTCTTTGCTGCTGCTGCTGCTGTCTTTGCTGCTGCTGCTGCTGTCTTTGATGCTGCTGCTGCTGCTGTCTTTGCTGCTACTGCTGCTGCTGTGGTGGTGGTGCTACTGATGCCGCACTCCTTTTGCCAGAACCACCAACAGAGCAGGAAGAACAGCAGCAGAAACAGGAGCAGAAGAAGCAGCAGGAGCAGAAGAAGCAGTAACAGCAGGAGCAGGAGCAGCAGCGAGCGGAGGAGAAGCAACAGCTGACATTAGAGGAACCGAAGGTAGAGGAGCAAGGGCAGGAAGAGGGGCAAGAGGAGGCAGCGGGGGCATGGGCAGGGGCAGGCAGAGGAGCAAGAGCAGGAGTGGTCCGCCCCACGCCGGCACCACTGGCCCACGCATGCCATGCTGCTACACATACCGCTGCTGCTGATGATGAGGATGAGGAGGATGAGGAGGAGGAGGAGGACGACGACGACGACGAACAGGAGGAGGGAAAACGAGGAGGAGGAAGAGGAGGATGGGCGGGAGGAGGAAGAGGAGGAGGAAGAGGAACAAAAAGTAGTACCCCAAGCCATGAGCGGTTTTGCTGCTGCTGCCGCTGTTGCTGCTGCTCCTGCAGGCAGAGGCATGGATGATGGGAGTCCCACATTCACATGCAATGGGTGCATGGGTCCGTCCACACCCAGAGGCAACAATGACTTTTGAGGCGCCTGAAGAGACATGGGTCTCTCCACACCCGAAGGCAGCGACGACTTCTGAGGCGCCTCAAAAGATGAGGGTCGGTCCACACCTGGAGGTAGCTCCTCATCCCCCATGGTGATCGGGATGGTGGTGATGGTCGCGGTGCTAGTGGCGGTGGTGCTAGGGGTGGTGATGCTAGTGGTGGTGCTGCTAGTGGTGCTAGCGGTGGTGATGCTAGTGGTGGTGCTGCTAGTGGTGCTAGCGGTGGTGATGCTAGTGGTGGTTGCAATCTCAGTAATGCCATTGTTGGCGGTGACGTGGCCTGTGCTGTAGCAGGAGCAGCAGGGCAGCAGCACCACCACCACCACCAGAAGCAGGAGCAGCAGGAGAGGGAGCAGGAGCAGCAGCAAGAGCGGCAGCAGGAGTGACAAAAGCAGCAGCAACAGCCGAAGCAGCAGCAGCAATAGCAGTAGCTGCAGCAGCCACAGCAGGAGTGGCAGCGGCAGCGCGGACCTTAGCTCGTTGCAGGGCAAGAGAAACCACCAGTGCATGGGCTGTGTCCAGCCCTGTGGCCGCTGCTACACACGCCAGAGACACTGGTTGTTGTGCTACAGATGGTGCTAATGCAGCCACTGGTGGCACCACAGGTGCTACAGCTGCTGCAGGTGCTACAGGTGACACCACCAGTGCATGGGCTGTGTCCAGTCCTGTGGCCGCTGCTACACATGCCAGAGACACTGGTTGTGTGCTACGGACGGTGCTGCTGCAGATGGTGCTGCTACAGATGGTGCTACAGATGGTGCTGCTACAGATGGTGCTACAGATGGTGCTGCTGCTGCAGCTACAGCACCACTGATACCCCAGGTGCCACAGGTGATGAAGGCGGCAGTGACATGACAAGGGCAAGGGAGGAGCAGCGGGGAGGGCAGCAAGAGCGGGGGTGGTAATGGTAAGAATGGAGTCGCTTTTGGGTGGATGAAGAACAGAAACCTCCTCTCCTCCTACCTCCTCTCCTCCTACCTCCTCTCCTCCCCCTCTACTTCCTCTCCTCCCACCTCCACTCCTCTGCTCCCTGTGCCTCCATACCAACATCTTCTCCTCTTCCGTCACCTGTTTCCACATACACAACCGTCTCTGCCTCTCCCTGTGCTTCCGCCTCTGCCTCCGCCTCTGCCTCTGCTTCTGTCTCTCCCCTGCATCTGCCTCTGCTCCTCCCTCTGCCTCTGCT